AACTTTTCTTTGTTTTAATTATCTACAAGTTGCTAAAGAATTAAAAATGATAATACAGCAATGGTGACAACTGGTTCAATCTAAAGCAAGCATAAATGTCTAAACCACCCCCCTCTGATTTTTCAACCGGTGTACCACAGCATGTCCTGCATAAATTTTCAAAGATCATTAATTAAATTATTTTTTTAAACAAGTTCAAGGCTTGTGTGAAGCAAGCTTTTCTGTAATAAACATTAAATTCAAAAATCACTAACAGATAGAATCTTTGGAAGAAGTTTAAAGAATATGTCTGTCCAAAATTCATCTTTGCAAAGAAGATATGCTAAAAAAAAATAAACACCAACCTCAGATATCTCATTAAATATTAAATTATATTTATTTTTCTGTTTAGTATGAGTTTTATTAATGAATTTTAGTGATTTTTTTTTATTGCAAATTGTAATAAATTGTTTTGTTTGTTAATAAATAAATCATAAAAAGTATACTTTTTGTCATAATTTAAGTATGCAGAAATTTAACTATAGGCTCAAGTCTACTTTGAGGCTGAAAAACATTGATCTAGCTTATTTGTTTTCAATGTGACCTGAAGTTAATTTCATTGGATTTAACCCTCCCCATAAATATCGGCTCTCAATATTCAACCCACCATACACCACCCCATGTATACTCTGCCATAATTTATAACAGCATCGTCACAAATGATGCAGAAGTTATGCAAACAGTGAGACATTGAGATCCGATATTTACAGGACGAGTTAAAGTATGTTGAGGTCTAATGGGTTAAGTATCTAATCATCAATAAATTCCATTGGATGCAACATTTTGATCCAAACAGAGGTAGGGAGACTGGCTCAAAATAGTCAATGTATTATAGTAACAACACCTGATCTCAGAAATTTGAGCAAAAACCAATGTTCTTGAATCTGGCTAAATAAAAAGACTGTATCCAGAACTTTCTGTTCTATCTCGGCTTTATTGCCTGCTCTCTTTTTGAATGCTTTGTGGCTTTTTTCCATAGATGCTTGCAGTGAGGCAGAACTTGATAAGGAAGACTGATTCCTGGGAGCATTTTATTTGTCTTTCTAGTCTGGCTGCTTACCTTACAACTACCATTTGTTACACCCACCTGTTATCTCTCTGCTGCACAATTACTGAGATGATCACTGGAGTGTTTAAAGCTGCTTTTGCCTGCAAAAAATTGTTCCTATTCAACTTTTTTTTTTTTTCCATTTCCTTTCACTCATTTATTTCTCTCCATTCAACACTATTACACTAAATGACATTGGATAAATGAGTTAATTCCATTTGTTGTGTCTTTTAATAACTGCATGTGTGAGTGTGTACATATGCACTTGTATATACCTACATTTGTACATATGTAGATTCACTAGTCTCCTTTATTCAGTATGTAGTCTTGGGTATGACAATAATCTACATCTAGGAGCAAGGCCTCTGATTGAGAGATTAGATGTTTTCAGGAGCATGGAACCGCCTCTTAATTGCTGTTGTTCCCAAGTCCACACTGACCTGGGCTGTTAGTAGCTGTTAGCGTCCCAGCTATAGGCAGATAGTAACCCCCACTCCCCAAAAAAAAAACACTATGAAAATATGAAAAACTATAACAATGATTTTTATTCCTGATATAAGTCTTACTGTTTAACCCATAGCTAGGATGGAGAAGAGGTAGTCATCCCTTCCCTCAAGGTTATTTACACAAGTAAATGTCATGAACTCTAATAGAATTCAAACTTCTTTTTCTGAGCTGCTGTCCATTACAGCATCAACACATCCAAGCTTACAGCACCTGGTATTTCCATACAGACACCCATCTAACCAAGCTCGATGTTGCTTAACTCTGGTGATCCGGAAAGAGCTGGTGTTTCATCATGATATGGCTGTAAGCCAGTCTGAATATAAATAATTCTTCATCTCAGAATTTCAAATAGAAATAAAGATACAAGTCAGAAGAATTTGGGTATTCACTTATACCAATTTATAATCTTGATTTTTATTTAAAGAGTTCATTACTCTTCTATTTTTATAAATTTAATACATGGTTCTATTCTCTAGAAGAAACATCCTTATGTTCTGGTGTTATTTCTTGCTCAACTTGTTTTAACTCCCATATTTAGAAAAAGCAGCACTGTGAGTAGGTTCAACATTTGAAACTTTAACTCTAGGTCTTTACTGATTTTCCTATAATTTTCTATCCGCGTAGACTTCTTAATGGATGTTTGCCGATCACAAGTGGAAATTGTCGTAATGAGTTTGTTGCATTCACTTTCATACAGTTGAGCAGCAGTCAGTACTTAGATTGGAATCATTCATGGATGCTAGGTACTGTATGCAACTTCCTACAATCTGAAATGTTTCTGCTTTAAATGACTCAAAGAGTTGATAAAACATAAAAAAATGATCAATAATGATTATCTTAGTCAGTTATGTGCCATGCATGATACACGCTCAGGCGATCATGTATCTTTCGATACATGACTGACAAGGCAGATATTTTTCCCCGCTGTAGACCAGTTACCATCCAAGGCTATAGAACTCTGTCTGTCCTGCTATTTACCCATAGCTGGAAGGAGAAGAAGAGGATTCATACCTTTCCCAAGGGTATTAGCACGTAAGTGAATATAATGTATTCAACTGGAATTTGAACTCACCTTTCCGATTCCTCAGTCCAAGCCACTATCAGTTACTCCACCATGCCTCCCTTATGGTTATCTCCAATATAATATTATTATATCGACTTGCTTGAAAGGCAAATGAAACTACCAGCATTTAATTATTTCTTGGATTTGTTCGGCATAGTGTTTTTTTTTTCTGTTTTTTTTTTATGTTCACTTATTGGCATGTAATTCTTGACCATTTTCAAGAGTTTTAACGTTGAAAATTTTGTACTGAATTTTGCTGATATCAGGTTAAAGATTTTTTGTTTTCTGCACAGATGATCTGGTATTGATTCTTGTCTATCATTTTCTTCATTGTTTTTAGCTCACCATTTCAGTTGGGGGAAAAAATCGACATGTAATAGTAACAAAGCCTTGTCTTAGAAACTGAAATAAAAAGTAATGATTCACACTGTTTACATTTGGACTATTATCCTCATCTTTGTTGTTGTTATCACCAAATTCATGAATCAATGCTTTAATCCACTTGATAATTATCCCATAGGACTATTTTCTGTGGAGAACTTAGAGCCTTGGAGAGAATTGTCCAACAGGTCAATAGCCTAGTAGATTAAGGTGTTGGTTCAAGTATTTGATATCATAATAATTGTGAATTCAATCCCTGAGCCAAGCAGTCCGGACTTGAACTCAATGGAAACAGGGTAAGGAATAACTAAGCAGTACTAAAAAAAAAAGTAGTATACGCGATATCCCTAAACATGGGCAGTGGAACAAGAACAGTCTACCCCCATAGATGAAATAAAAGGTTAGGTTTAAAATAGGTTAACCAGCTTAATATGCACCTGATGAAGGCTGGAGTGCCCAATAGCAGAAATGTTGTGATAAAACCAAATCTTTGTTGTGGACAATAGTCCAGATATAATTAGTGTAAATCATGATACCTCCTCAGAGAAATTCAGACAAAAATGTAATGATATTTTTTTAAAAAAAAAATGTGTGTAGGAGGGTGGGTTACAGTCACATCACATTAAAACACCTGTTCCCAATGTCAAGCCTTGTCAATCCCTAGATGGGTTATTAATTGGGAATATCAGGTGCAGTAAGCTTGGATGTGCATATGGTGTAATGGACAATGGCTTGGAATTGTTAATTGGCGAGCCAAGTTCCAATTCTAGTTGGCTTTGTTATATTCACTTACAAGCAACTTTGAGCATGTCGTGCTCCTATGATTCTAATGGGTTACGGGAGTCATGATTGCAAGCTTTCTTCAGTAATATTTATATATCTTAGATTAAAAAAAATATCAATAACTATTCTATTATATATTTGTAACATGATGAACAATCTGTAAGTTTGATAATAAAATCTCACATCACCAAATAATCTATTATAAATATTTCTCATAAATACAAGCTGAATTGGTATATTATATAACTGTAAGAAAGTATTTTTGTTTGTTTTTTTTGCTTTGTTTTTTTTTTTTTTTTTTTTTTAAATCAAATTTACCCCATACAAGGCAGTAAAGTCACTAAGACAAAAAGAGTTACTGAGTGTGGGAAAAGAAAACATTGTGGAGCGAAAACAATTAAAGAAGAGTAATCAGGAAGACAGTATATAAGGATTGACATTGCATTTACATTTTTGAAGATCAAAGTTGGCTGGAAATCATCAAGCCAGAAGAGTGTTCCACAAGTGAAAAAAAAACTGTTAATGGTTATATCCAGCTAATTCAACTGTAAATTGATGAGACCTTGTTACCAATATAGTACTGCGCCTAAATTCAAAAAGTCTAGGTACTATAGAAAAGAGCTAATCCCCACAATTACCATGAAAATATTTATAGAAAAGACACAGGGAAGCAACTTTATGGCAGTGGGAAAGTAACTGAAGCCAAGACGCCAGGTCAGGAGCAATAATATTTCAGATTCTTCTTTTAGATTTTATCAAAGATCTCTAAATATATAGCAGAAGTACCAGACCGTATGTGGCAACAATATTCTAAACATGGGCAAATGGTAGGCTTACAGATATGTAAGATAGATTTTGGAGAGAAAAATTGTCTGGCATTAAACAGTGAACCAACTTTCTTAGCAGCAGGCCTAGCAATAGATTTGATATTGTCTTTGCACTTCATTTCAGCCAAGAAGGAGCTACAAAGTCTCTCTCATGGAGGTTAGCATCAGCCATGCTGATGGAAAGCACTGGAAGTTTTACAAAGTTTATTTGGTTGATGACAATTTCATTGTGAAAACCTTGACTTGCTTAATAAAAAACTGATATTAGTGTAAACTGTAAATCATTTCCTCTTTGGGATAAGTCAGTTTTTTTGTTTTTTACATCCACTAATATATTTTTTTCTTTTCTTAGGTTGATTGTTAATCGTGATATTCCAACAATATCCATCTTGTTGTCAAAGGAAAAATTAGATCCTGAAGAACCTGGGTATGTAGCTATTTAACAAACTTATTTTATTTTGTGATTTTTGAAAATGTTCTGTGTTATTGTACAAACAACAGGACTTCATAACCTTCTGAATCTCCAACCATAGTCTCACTAATCTGTGGTTAGCCTAAAGAGTTGATAATCCATCAAAAATGAATCGATCAAACAAAAGCAAATGTCAAATTTGAAAATGAACTGACATCATTGATATCTTCATATTTTTTTAAATTTTCAAAATTTTAAATTTTTTTAATGATTTCATAATTGTATGAATTTTTTTTCAGAAGCTCATGCAGGTTTGAGGTTTGTAATTATTTATCTTAATTTTGTTTGTTTATTATTAATTTAATATTAATTCATATAAATTTATGTTCTTTACTTAAAAATATATATATATATATATATATCCATTAGTTCATTATTTAAGAGAAGTCATCCTCTGACCCTACTTCATAAAATGTTTTTTTTTTTTTTTTTTTTTTTTTTTTCGGACACAAACAGGACCCCCCCCTCCCTATAAAGATAAACTACATCTGGCAGCAAGGCCTCTTATTGGTAGGTTTTGAGGAGCGTGGAACCATCTCTTAATTACTGTTGTCCCAGGCCCACTCTGACTCGGGGTGGTTGCACCTGTTAGTTTCCCAGCCATAAGAAAATAGCGAACCCCACCAAACTGAGGTCAAAACACTATGAAAGTATAAAAATATATTTTTATAGTAAAATTACCAGCAGTAGATTTTCATGGTTAAAAAAATTGTCAGGAATACATTTTTGAAAAAATAAAAATTACCAGCAAAAAGAAAATACTAATGCTCCCAAGAAAATTAAATTTTGGCATTAAATGACCCATAAAGATTTGATATGCTACTAAACAAACAAACAAGGACCCCTCCCCATTTCAAAATTGCTAAAAAGGTTGTTTTCTGATTCTGACAAGTTGTTGTCTAAAGAACCTCTAAAGAATGCTGATGTACAAAAAATATTTCTCCCTCAAATATTCCCTATTTTTATGAGGGAATTCATCTATTTAACTCGTGACCAAATGTAATATTGTGTCTTGTGATATTATCAGACTCTGATCAACAAATACATAAAGAAACAACAGCAGACACACATTTGTTTCTTTGGATATTGGCCTTTTCTCATTTATGTGTGTCTGGATTGCTACATTTGTTTTACTTGGTGCAGTAAGTAGTGAATGCTCCCCTATTTTGTTACTGTATGGATGATTGGAATGTTGACTTATGATCTATTTTCATATTCAAAATTATTCCTCATCTTGAATTAAAAGAATAGTTAAATTTTATTCACATAAGCAAATCTACTGGAAAAAGTTGTTTAAGTTGTTGCACTAATACTCTGATTGCAGGAGTTTGTAAATTAATTGTAATTTTGGCCTTAAATAGCCAACTTATCATGCAAATCCTTTATTGGAGGGAAATAATTAATTTTAAATAATCTATGGTGAGTACAAAATTTTATTAAGACTAAAATCTCTCAAATTAAACATTTTTAAAATTATAAACAAATATATATATATATATATATATATATATATATATATATATATATATATATATATATATATATATATAAAATCTTGTGATTAGTGTTCGTCTGTCACACTCTTTGATGCACTAATTCCTTAAGTTGTCATATTTTCCATTGATGAAAAGGCATGGCATCTAGAACAATCAACTCCATGGATTGAATAAAGTGTTCAGTTCAAACTTCCAAATAATATCACCTGAAGAAGACTGGGTGTACAACGGTCAAAAATGTTGTGAATATGGCAATATAAATGAGGACAACAGTCTGATCAATGTAAATAATGTAAATAGTTACAATACTTCATCTTAGAAATATAGACAGATGTTATATATATATATATATATATATATATATATACATACATACATACATACATACATATATATATATATATATATATATATATATATATATATATACATACATATATATATATATATATACATACATATATATATATATATATATATTTGCTTTCTACTTGTATCCGAGTATGCCTCTCTACTACAGTGGCTAACCAGTCCCAGTTGCAGACACTTGCTCAGGCATACTTGTGTTTGTTCAATGCCCACAGACTGTGATTTATACTGCAACTATGCTAGAAGGGCTTTAGTTACAGTTTCTTGGAGAGAGCACATCATCTGGTGTGATCTACAGTTTGAACAAGACCAGTACTGTCAAATCCTCTGTCACGATGACTTGTCACTTGGTGCTAGCTCAACATTCTATGAAAAACTCCATCTGCTCAAATTCACTAACAAGTCTTTGGTCATCCATAGTTGCATTTTCCGACACTTTTCAAAAGTGCTGCACACTGGAATCCCCTCCCCAGGCCAATAACATCAAGAAATCAGTTTCCTAACAAATCGACCGTGGTAAGATTGAAATATCAGAAATACTTGACCACATGTCCAATATACACACACATGTCCTTTCCTCCTTTAACATGATTGAGTTGAATAACTCATTACCATTTTATCATGATATTAAATGAAACTTTATAGAAAAGTTCTGAAAATTTCTTGGCTTGTCCCACTTCCCAAAATTTGGACAAATCCACAAGCCATCTTTTCTTTTTTTTTATGGCTTCATGGTCAAGCAAAAACATTTTAAGCATGCCCACCATAATTAATTTCTAAGTAATATTTAGCATATTACCCATTTAAAAAAAAAAAAAAAAAATGATCACATTATTTATTTATTTATAGATTTGTACAACTACCTCAAATTTTAATATCTTTGCTTAAGATCAATGTGCAGTAACTGTACTCTCTGCAAATGTGTTATATACTTAAATAATATATGATGAGTGTTGAAAAGTTCTCAAACCAGTCCACTTTGTAAAATCTGACTAATGGACTAAGCCTTGGATTTGTTTTTTTTTTTTTGTTTTTTTTTTAAGGACTTTTTGATCACGTCAAGAATTCTTTAACATACCCTAGTAATCAATTTCCCTATCTATTCATTTCAATGCAACAGCAACAAAATTATTCAATGTTAGGAGCTAAGTAAGAAAGCAAGAGGAAACAAAAGAAAAACAGATGGTATTTTAGCAGGTTAGACTTTAAGTGTTTTTTTGTTTTTTTTATGGACAAGTAATAATATCGAGTTTGGTACAACATATCATTACATCTTTCCAGGAATAAATATACAAATTACATATGCAGCTGATTTTGTTTTGTCTTTCAAAGATAATGTTTGGAAAATCATTTGAACTTTGTTTTGCAGGTACCAGGCACCTGGGAAGTGCAGCATCCTGTTAAGTCATGAAAACAAACAAAAATGCAAAACCAAAGAATTCTCAAAGACTAGTTCCAGTCAATCTCGCCATCCTTATCAAACTCAGAAGCAGTTTAAGCGGAAAAGACGTCAAAAACCCACCTCGGGAGAAGCAGGCAGTAACAGATCTAAAGCCGGACCTTCCTCTTATGAAAAACGTCCCTCAAATAAACCACAGTCATCAACCTCTTCTGCTTCTGCTCCTCAGTGAAGACCTGCACTGATCTATGATAACTACAGATTATATATTATTTTTAGAATTTCCAGAGTCTTGAATCTTTATTCTTGTTTTGCACTTGCAATAATAAGGGGTTCGAAGATCAGTCCAAGGGAGACGTCAAATACAAAAAGTTATTTTGCATTACTTTATATGGTTGGAGATATAAAGTCCTTTTTATTAATTTCAAAGAATAACACTACACTCCCTCTCCTTGTACTTGAAATTTTTAAAAGGTTTTATAATTTTATTTTATTTTACTTCTAAATTCTTTGCCCACAAACCCTTTTTTCTTTTATTTTATGACTAGAAGAATAAATCTGTCAATTCCAAACAGGAATTATTGAGAGTAATATTATCCTAAACACAGCAGCAGTTGATGACCTTGGAAATTGCAAGGACTTTAAATTCTTCTTCTTTTTGCTGTGTCCCTTCAGTGTGTGGGTGATCCTGGCTTCTTCATAGCTTTTCTGTCCTTTCTCTTTTTGCTATCCTTCCTAATCCCTATTCTGCCAACTATTCACCCAAACTTGTTTGCTAGGTTATTTACTACGTTATTCTGTCTCTCTTGCTTTCAACATGTCCTGTGAGTGTCAGATTCTACAAGCTCTCTTTCCTCATTATATGGCCCAGAAATTTCAGATGTCTCTCTGAATTTAAGTATCTTTTTGTGATCACCCACCCACCCCCATCTTCCCTAAAACTTCCTTAGTCACATATTCAGTCCATGGAATTTTCAGCATCCCTCTTTAGAATCAAATTTCTGTTGCCTCAAGTCTTTTCTTTAGCTGTGAGAAGATTGTCTAACATTCATTGCCATAGAGGATGACCAATATTACATAACAGCTCAGCACTCTTTTCTCTGTTTCTAATGAAAATTTCCTGTCTCTTTATACTTTGCTTAGTTTTAATGGTATCCAAAGTATACATGATGCCTAAAACTTTGTAATAAGAGTTTTGCAGTGTATTTTATATGAGATTAATCTTTCTATCAGTATCTGTCTATATTTCTGAGATGAGGTATTATGTACACTATTTATATTATTCAGACTATTGTCCTCATTTTGGTCGCCATATTTATTACAACGTTTTGGCCTTTGTATGCTATCTCCTGTCAATTCCCCTCTGCAAGTTCTCCACTGCCTTAACCAGGTTAAGGGTCTTGTCACTGGATCTAATGGCACAGGGGATAAAGGCATTAGTTAGATCCAGTGACAGGACCCAAAGATTGTGAGTTCAATACTTGGTTAAGGCGGTGGAGAACTTGGAGAGGGGAATTGACAGGAGATAACTGATAACTGACATCCATTAGATATGGCACGTGGAACTAGAGCAGTCTACCCCAGAGAGCAAAATAAAGGGTTCAGTTCAATATTCCAACCACCTGAAGAAGGCCGGAATGTACAACAACCGAAACATTGTAATATAGCAACAAAGATGAGGACAATAGTCCCAATAATGTAAATAGTGTAATCTTTTTATGTTCACTTTCGTGATCCTTGAAAATGCTTTGAACTTTGCTGTGATAATCAACAACTTCTCTCCAGCTGTGCTGGTCAAACTCTCTACGTCGAGGTAGGTGGATCCACAGATGAGGCTATGTTGAAGAGCAGGGTCCACAGGGAATTTTTGGCCAAGCCTACAGGCTTGGATACCCCACATTAAATTTGGCCTTGTGCCACATCTGACCATGTGGGGCAGTTGGTAGATATACTATTTGAGTCGGAAGACAATTGAAAGCATTCACCATGAACAGTATTAGAAAGCTGCTGCTGATAAATATGAGAATCGGTGAAAAACTAATGCCTGTTCCTTAATTACAACAGTTTTAATAGAAGCACCCATAGCAGGTCAGAGATGAACTCAACAGTCTTTTTCTCAATCGTGGTACTCGGGTTTTTGAATGAGGGCAGGTGAACCTGCCTCGTAGAAACTTTTTGGTTGCTTTCTTAATTATATGCAGGTTTCTTCTTTCTCTTCCTCCTCATCATCATTGGAGACCTGCTACCCCCTTCATTGCCCCTAAACTCATGAAAGACTGATAGTTCCAGATCTGAACTGTAGTGGCGGGGGGGGTGTCTGGTTATCAAACTACACACTATGATTGCTAGTCTTTTCTATGAGCATTCACAAATCTCTTGTGAATCTTTGCAACATTTTTCTCTTTCCAAAAACAAATTTCACTTTTCTGTGTCCACAAAAGGGCAAACATTTCTGATGAAGGATTATGTGCCGGAAAAAGGAAAGGATACTGCTACTTTCTTTTCTTCTGGGCTTGTAGACACTTTGACTAAAACAAAAATAAATGTTGACATGTGTCCTAAAAATTAAACTAGGACAGTCATTACTTTTGGATCAACCTTTGCATTTAATAGGCAAAGGAGTGCTGGAAATCTGTTTGGTTAGATCAAATAAAAGGCATATTGTTTAGCTAAGAACTTTTCAGCACCTTCTTGTGAAAAATAAACGAGTTTGATGACATGTACAAATGATTTTGAACAATGATTAAAAAAATAACAGCTACAACATATCAAGACAGAAATTAGCAAATGGCAATGTGTGCCTGTGTAAATATTGTAAATATTTGGAATCCCGAGTGGGTTTTGAAAAAAAAAAAAAAAAAAAAGTCCAGAATTTTTTTCCAAGGAATTTTTAACATTATATCTTACAAAATGTGGGGAGGGAATAGAAAATACTCTTTGTCACAGTTAGAATGTTTAGTTTAAGGAATGTCTTGCAAAAGTAATTATCTTACAAAGTTATTTTGAACTAGAGTTTTAATTGGCTGGTGTATATTTATTGAATTTTGCCGCAGATGGGATGCTCCCTAAATTTAGCTTCAATTATGATGAAAAAATAATACTAATGTAAAATTTTGCTTGCCTGTGTTAAACTGTACTAGTCTTAAATTCCAACGGCTCAGCCATATCACATTGAAATGCTGATTAACACGATCACCGAAGTTAAACAATATTGAGACTGCTTAGTACCTCGATGTGACCACTTTTGAATGTCATATGCTGTAAGCTTGGATGTGCCGGTGGTGTAATGAATGCCTCAGAATTGGAAATTGGAGAGCAAAGTTTCAATTCCAGTCAGGTTTGTTGTATTCACTTATGTGCAAATACCCTTGAGAAAACTATGGATCCACCTCTTCTCCCCCAGCTATGGGTTAATTCCTGGTACTTGTCTCCATAAATTATCTCCCAAACCTCCTTACAATGAAAAAAATATTTTCTGGCTTTAAATAACCTGCAAAAGGTTAATGGGCTATAAAAAAAATAAAATTAGATTCCAAGTCTAAATTTCTCTGTACAGAAAACAATTATATTTTTTTTGCCAGGGGTGAGAGTGCATTTTATATACAGCAAAATGGAGTAGTTTTCATGAAAATTAATGTTGCTATTTCCCTTCTTTTTTTTTTTTTTAAAAGGGCTAAAAGAAAGAAAAATTTACTTCAGAGACATTAACATTTAAACACTCAAGCATCATTTACAGATGTTACGCCCCCTTTTACTGTATAGAATCCCCTCAAAATAGAGGGTTTTATTTATTAGTTCTGTATATTTGAAATTGCAGTGCATTGGCTCTCAATTTCAGTCAAGATTGTTTTAGGTGTTGCCATAGAAGGATATGACTGCACTACCAAGAAATTCAAATTCAGCTTGCATTGGCAGGACTAACATTTTACTTGGTGAAAGTAGTTGCCTACAGAGAGCTAAAGATTAAAATTAACTGGAAATCTACAAGATGTTTTATTTTAACTGTAAGCTTACATCATTCAAGAACATGGGTATTATCAGAGCCAAACTGTTTATATTTAATAATTGTAACTGGAAAAACCTTTTCTTTATTTTTTTTTTTCTTTTACTTTTATTCACTTGTGAAATAAATTTTTGAAACAAATGCCTAAAAGTAAATTGATATTTCTTTGACAACTTTGTTTTATTTTTTTTTTTACATGGTCATTCAGAGTATACTCTACTAATCCATTGAAAAAGTTCCATGTTTTTTGTATTTTTAGTGAAGATTTTCGTTGGGCATTTTTTATTGATAATTTCTGACTACAAAAATTTTATTTGATTATACAATTATCTGGTAAATATATTGTACAAAGATGTGAAAATGATTTTAAGGTAATTTTATTTAAGTATTTGCATTATATGCACACACAGGTTTTTTTTTGGGGGGGTCCAAATAATTTTTTTTTGGGGGGGTTCCAAATAATTTCTAAATCCAGAAAATTTAATTTGAATAACAAATGTTTCATTATACAATGATCTGGTAAAAATATTGAATAAAGTTGTAGAAATTTTTGGATAATTTAATTACACACACAGACACACACATTGCTGATATCCCCTGAAAAGTGAATGGACATGAAACTCAGCTAAGGAACAAACTTTTACTCACACTGATCCTGATATATATATATATATATATATATATATATATATATATATGATGCATTTTATCTAGGGCATAATTGATCAAAAGTGATGTTTACTTACATGCAACTCCACCTGCTCATGAAGGAGAAGGGAAGGCTGGAAATTTAAATTAAAAATTTTCAATATCTGCTCTCCATTGTGCACATACATAGTTGCATATAATATCTTTTATTATCATTACTTTAGTCCGATGAAATCTTAAAGGACAAAATGCGGCCTACAAAAGCTTTTTCCAATTTATCATAGTTTTTTTGTTTTTTTTCTAAAATTCTTGATATATTAAAATTTATCTATCATTTTCCTATACTTAAGTATACCAATAAGTCTATCACCTAATGATAAAAATCTTTTCATTTTAAGCCAGGAATATTTCTCAACATCATCTATTGAGTCAATCCCCTGTTAACTATGAACTGCAAACAGACAGTTATGGAGAGAAAACTTCAGATCAAAATTCAACATGTAGCAGTGACTCACCTCCTCCTCCTCTCTTTATCTCTCTCTCATCAATGAATCTGGTTAAGAAGAAAGAATTCATTTAAA